AAAAGAATAAATTTGGAGGCACTTGAACTTGGAGTCATTTTTAAAACCACTTAAGTTTAAATATGTTCAAGAAAGAAATCTAGGGGTGGATCCTTTGGTATCTGATGAGAGAATGACCCCCGATGAGGAGGGCTTTTAGGCTCCCCAAGGTACCAGCCTTGGGGCTGGAGAGATAGTACAGTGGGCAGGATGCTTGCTTTGCACAGAGCAGACTCAGGTTTGATGCCTGGCACCTCGTAGTGTCCCCTGAACCCTGCCAGGATTGCTCTTTGAGCACAGAGCCAGGAGTAAGCCGTGAGTGTTGTAAGTGTGACTCAAAAACAAAAACCATAAAAAGCAAAGATACTGACAATGGGCTTTAAGGGATGAGGAGAGTGAGCAGGGGTGGGCTAAGACTGGCCCTGATTCAGGGTGTTGGGACAGTCCTGGGCAGCTCCCCTGTCAGTCAGCTAGAGAAGGCACACTCGGGAGAGTCCTGGAGAACCCTTCAGGGAGGCGAAGAAACGCCTCAGACAACTCCTCAGCTGATCTAGGCTGACCTAGATCTTGGTTCTGGCTGTAAGCAGGTCTCCAAGCTCACTAGATGTCAGTCTTTTCATGTGTGAAATGGTACATCAGAGTGGCAACTGTGGAGTCCAGCCGAGTGCAGGGCCAGGAGCGAACCCTGAGCACCGCTGGGTGTGGCCCCAAAAATGAAAACAAAAACAAAGAGTGGTATCTGGCTCCTAGTATAGTTTTGGGTTTCTGTGGGGGACTCCTGAGCAGTGATCAGGAGGCTGGGAGCCTCTCCTGGCAAACACAGTTTTCAAGGCTTTAGTGTGCTAAATATTTTAAAAGAGAAAGTTACTTATTTAGTAACAATAGAGTGTCATGTTTTTCTTTTTGAATATCAGTTGTCAAGGACCATGGTTTTGGAGAGAGTGGCTGAAAGGGTTGGAATGCAGGCTTTTCACACAGGAACCCAAGTTTGGCCCCTGGCATCACATTGGCCCCTGGGCACCACTTGGTGAGGTGAAAAAGGAAAAAATGTTTGGGGAGATAATCTGCAAACTCCAATTGTGTTTGAAGGTATGATTTTTATCATACCTTCAAACACAATTGGAAAATTGAAATTGTCACTGTCCTCCCATTGTTTATTGATTTGCTCGAGCGGGCCCAGTAACATTATGAGACTTGTTACTGTGTTTGGCATATCGAATATGTCACGGGTAGCTTGCCAGGCTCTGCCGTGTGGATGAGATATTCTCGGTAGCTTGCCGGGCTCTCTGAGAGGGGTGGGGGAATCGAACTCGGGTCGGCCATGTTGGCTGCATGCAAGGTAAACGCCCTGCCCGCTGTGCTATCGCTCCAACCCCCAATAATAATAATTTTATTTTTCAACAAACTGTCTACAAAACATCTCTGCTGAGTCCAGAGGCAGAGTTAGTACAGCAGATAGGCGCATGCTTTGCCTTCAACAGACCGGGATTAGATTCCCAGAACCCATATTGTTCCCTGAGTTCTGCCAGGAGGCAGCCCTGAGCACTGCTGGGTGTGGCCCCAAAACCAAACATTTCTTTTTGCTATTCATAATGGCTGAGAAAATAATTCTTTGATAGATTGTGCAGCTTAGATCACCTGTGCCAGGTTGGCTTGTTTACCTTTGTTTTCTGAAACCAGGTTCTTCCTTGTTCCTCTGCACCCCCAACCACCCCACCCTACCTGTTCAGTGTCCCAGCTGTCCTGGGTGACCCCATTCTCTGGTTGGCCTTGGGAGTTGGGATTTCCGCATCCAAAGCTACTGATGCTGAAGGCTGAGGGCGTGGGCCCCTCGGGCTGCGTGTGGCCCCCCCGCCGGCTGTCAGTGGGCTCCTGCTCAGCCTCCTGCAGGCTTCTCCCACCCTCTGGATCTTGTTTTGGGACCGCGCCCGGTGATGCTCTGGGAACCCTGGTGTGGCATCAGCCTAGGCCTCCTGCCTGCACAGCTGTGGGCTCCAGCAGCAGCTTTCTTTAAAGAGCATCATCTTCCCCCGCCTCGTTCCAATAAGCCGCCTAAGCTTTCAGAAGCAAGAAATAGGGTAGTAGTGATGGGGAGGGAAAAAGAGGTAGCAGCCTGATTCTCCTGGTTTGCCGTAAATAGCAGGCCAGGCTTTCGGGCCTTGATTCCAACCTCTCCCTTGGAGCTCAGTGGGGAGCGCAGGGACCAGCCTTCCTGTGTGCTCTCCTTGCCGCTGCTGTTCACCAGGCCCAACAGTGCTGGGACGCGAACCCGGTCAGCTGCGTGCAAGACACATGCCATACCTCATGGGGCAGGACTCTTAGCTTTTATCCTTTGTTGTGAAGTGAAATCTAGGGGGCCTGGGGGCATGACTCATTGGTAGAGCCCTTGCCTTGCGTGTGTGAGACCCTGACTTCTATCCCAAGCACCATGAAAAAACAAAGTAAAGCCAGGGTCCAAGAGCAGGGGAGATCAGAGCTCCTGAGCTGGAATCTGCAGTGGTGCTTCTGCCCGTAGAAACCCGCAGAGGAGCATGACACGTGTCCCTGCTCTGAGGAAGCCCTCTGCTGCCTGCCTTCTCTGCACTCTGCCGATGGAAAGAAAGTGTTTTGCTGCATTGGTCGTCTTTTCTTTTTTAATTCTTTAAAAAATTCTCCCTTTATTAATTTTTATTGAATCACCATGAGATACACAGTCATAAAGTTGTTCACGATCAGTTTAGCCATACAATGTTTCAGCACCCCTCCCCTTCACCAGTGTACGTTTCCCACCACCAGTGTCCTCAGTTTCCCACTTGCCACCCCCCAGCCTGCCTCTAATGCAGACTGACTGACTCTCTCTCTCTCTCTCTCTCTCTCTCTCTTTCTTCCCTCTCCTCTTTCTCTTTCCTTCCCCCCTCTCCCCCCTTCTCTCTTTCCTTTGGGAAGTATTGTTTGCAATACAGGTACTGAAAGGTTATGCATATCACTTTACCTCCTTTCAGCACTCAGTTCTTGTCCAGAGTGTTCGTTTCCAATTATCATTACCATTGTGGTTCCTTTCTCTGTCCTACTGCCTCCCCACCCACCCACCCACCCACTTGTGCCAAGCTTCTGGCCATGGACCAGTCTTCCTGGTCCTTGTTTCTACTGTCTTTGGGTATTAGTCTCATACTATGTTTGTTTGTTTGTTTGTTTGTTTGTTTATCCCACAAATAAATGCAGTCATTCTGTGTCTTTCCCTCTCCTTCTGACTCATTTTACTCAGCATGATACTCTCCATGTCCATCCATTTATAAGCAAATTTCATGACTTTGTTTTTCCTGAAGGCCATGTAGTGTTCCATTGCATAGATGTACCATAGTTTCTTTATCTCCTTGTCTGTTCTTGGTCACTCGGGTTGTTTCCAGATTCGGCTATTGTGAATAGTACTGCAGTGAACACAGGATTGCGGATGGCTTTTCTCCATTGTGTTTTTGGGCCCCCAGGTATATTCCAGGAACAGTGTTGCTGGGTCATATAGAAGTTTAGTTTCTAGTTTTTTGAGGAATGCCCATATTGTTTTCCAAAACGGCTGGATCAGTTGGCATTCCCACCAGCAGTGAATGAGCATCCCTTTCTCTGTGTCATGAGATGATATCATTGTTGTTTTGATTTTCTTCTCCCTGGCAGTGATATAGAGCATTTTTTATGTGCCTTTTGGCCATTTGTATTTCTTCTTTGAGGAAGTTTCTGTTTGTTTCTTCTCCCACTTTTTGATGGGGTTGAATTTTTTTCCTGTAAAGTTCTACCAGTGCCTTATGTATTTTTGATATTAGGTGAGGTAAATAATCTTTCCCATTCTGCGGGCTTTCTTTGTATCCTGGCCACCATTTCCTTTGAGGTACAGAAGCTTCTTAGTTTAATGTGGTTCCATTTGTTTATCTTTGCTTCCACATGCTTGGTCGGTGGTGTTTCATCTTTAAAGATGCCGTTAACTTCAATGTCATGGAGGGTTCTGCCTGCATTTTCCTCTGTGAACCTTAAGGATTCAGATCTTACATTGAGGTCTTGAATTCATTTTGATCTGACTTTGGTGTCTAGCATTAGAAAGAGGTCTGAGTTCATTTTGTTTGCATGTAGCTGCCCAATTTTCCCAGCACCAGTTGTTGGAAGAGGCTTTTCTTGCTCCACTTTAAATTTCTTGCTCCTTTATCAAAGATTAAATGATCTTGTACTTGAGGGTCTGTGTCCAGATGTTCAGCTCTGTTCCATGGATCTGAGGGTCTGTCTTTATTTCAGTTCCATGCTTTTTTAATTACAACTGCTTTGTAGTGCACTTTGGAGTTGGGGAAGGTGGTGCCTCTCCTCTTGTCTTCTTTTTCCCAAGAATTGCCTTAGCTATTCGTGAGGGGTTATTTTTCCATATGAATTTTAGGAGTGTTTGATCTACATCTTTGAAAAATGTTATGGGTATCCTTATAGGGACTGCATTGAATCTGTACAGTACTTTGGGGAGTGTTCCCATTTTGATGATATTAATCCTCCCAATCCATGAGTGTTTCCATTTTCTTGTGTCCTTTATTTTTTGAAGTAATGTTTTGTAGTTTTCTATGTAAGTCTTTCATCTCTTTAGTTAAGCTGATTCCAAGGCAGTTGTTTTTCTACATAAAATTGTAAATGGGATTTTTAAAATATTTCTTCTCTGTCATTATTTGGGCTGGAGTGATAGCACAGCAGGTAGGGCATTTGCCTTGCACACGACTGACCCGGTCGACCCGAGTTCAATTCCTTCGCCCCTCTCAGAGAGCCCGGCAAGCCACCTAGAGTATCTTGCCCACGCGGCAAAGCTTGGCAAGCTACCTGTGACATATTCGATCTGCCAAACACAGTAACAATAAGTCTCACAATGTTTTGGGGCCCGCTTGAGCAAATCGATGAACAATGGGAGGACAGTGACAGTGACAGTCATTATTTGCATCTAGGAGAGCCATAGACTGTGGGGATTGATTGTAACTGTGCTGCATTGTTTATTACTATGAGCACTTCTCTTGGTTTTCTTGAAGGGCTGCCACCAACTCCTGTCCAGCTACTCTACCCAGTGTCCCGATTCAGCAACGTCAAATCCCTCCAGCACCTTTGCAGATTCCGAATCCGACAGCTAGTCCGGATCGATCACATCCCAGATCTCCCACTGCCTAAGTACAGTAGGGTCAAGGGGGTGGGCAGGAGGGGGTTTTATCACCAAGCAGAGTGGCAGAGCTCAGCCTGTGGGCTGAGTGCACACGCAGAGCCTGGCAGTATCCGCCAGCACCATCTTTTCACTTCTCCTGCGTCTTGGCACCTAACTCTAGAACTGTCTGTCACGTTGCAGGCAGAAGGGAGGAAGGTGTGTGCTGGCTGTCCTCCTGCAGTTTCTGAAGGGTGGCGTGGAGGCGGGAAGAGGGAGGGAGACAATTCAAAGTGAGAAAATGCAGTTTGTTAGGTCTTCAGACTTTGGCGCCATCAGCTATATAGCAGTTAAAGAGAAAGACAATTTTTCTCTTCTATTTTCTTTTTTTAGCTTTTTTTTTGTAGGCACTGTGGTTTACAGTGCTGTTGATCAAGTTTCATGCATGACATATTTCTGCCCCACACCCTTCACCAGTGTCCATTTTCTTTTACCAAAAGAATGTATGGGGGGGAATGTATGAATATACATTTTTGAATGTATGAAAATAACACTTTGTGTACCCCTCTTGTGTTTTTCAGACCTCTTATCTCTTATATCCGAAAGTTCTACTACTATGATCCTCAGGAAGAGGTATACTTGTCTCTAAAGGAAGCGCAGCTCATTTCCAAACAGAAGCAAGAGGTGGAGCCCTCCACGTAGCCAGGGGCCCCCTGGTGGCCACCAAGGGTATGAGCCCTCTGCCTCACTCTTCAGCTCAGTGTCTCCTGGCTGTTTTCATCATTCTGAGCCTTGTCACTCTCCCCGCACTCCGTATATCGAATCTAGATCTTGGCATCTATCCATAGAGTTAACCAGATCCCGTCACAGGAGTCCCCAGAGGAGCACATGCACCCAGTTGGGAGAAGGGCAGGGGGGCATGAGAGGGTGCAGAATATTTGACAAGTAGCATGCAGGCTAATCACTGAGTAGTGCTGGTACACAGGCATGGCTTAGCGGCTCCAGATTTTTCATAAATGACAGATCTATAAAGTGGAGAACCGAAGGACATATCAACTATGTCTTTAAAAATTTTTCTTTTTGGTTTGTTTTTTGGGCCATGCCTGATATTTCTCAGAACTTATTTCTGGCACTGTATTCATGGATCATCCTGGAGGGGCTCAGAGGACCTTATAGGGTGCCAGGGATTGGTTTCACACATGCATGGCCAGCACCTTACCTGTTGTACTCTCCAGCCCCACTTAAAAATATTCAGGCATCCCAGGTAGTGCTCAAGGGTCCTGGGAGTCTCTTCTGGCAGTTGTCACCATTTGGGCGAGCAGTTTAATGTGAAGGCCCCAGGGTGCAGTGCTACATGGGCCCTGTGGGGCAGGGATCAGAGCGGGCGGGCAGGGATGCCCCTGGACCTTGTGCTGGATGTCCTTGCCCTCACACATGCCTGTAGCTGCAATGTGCATGTGCCGCCGTGAGAGCTCCCCATGTCCCACAGAATGTGGAAATGCAGAGACAACCAATTCTCTCTGTTCTTTTTCGGGGGGAGTGGAGGGGGGCTGGGCGCCCAGCAGTTCTAAGAAACTATTCCTTTTTCCTTCTTTTGTTTCCATCTGGGGGCACACCCACTCCTTCCTCATTTCTCCTCTGGAGCCCTCCGACTCACCCTCCAGACCAGGCTGCCCGCACTTGGTTTTGGTGCCGTGCTGTTGAAACCCTGTCATTTTATTCTTTTCCTTTTCACTCAGGCATTGGGTTGCCAAGCTCCAGTTTTGAAGAACCAAATGAAGCTACCATGAAAAGGGGAGTGAGGGAAAACAAGAGGCCAGTGACTTCGGTTGTCCAGGGTTCTCTGTCCCCTGGGGCTCGGAAGAAGCACACACCGCCTTTCCCTCAGCCCGCCTGACCCTGGAACTGGAGGAGAGCCGCAGAAAGCTGGTCCTTTCTCAGAAGCTGTGTTTGGATTCCCCCATTTCTCAGAACGGACCACTCCCCCCAGGGCAGCTGGTGGTCCTGCCCTTTGTGTTGGCAGTGGCACAGAGGGTGAGCGGGCCCATGTGGCAGCCGTGGGAGCTGCCAGTGCTGGTCCTGGAGCTGGTGCCAAAGGGCTGGTGCAGTTCCTCAGTGCGGAGGGGGGAGGGCGGAAGACTGCAGCCAAAACACGGGAGCTTCTGGGCATGAGGACTGACTGCTCATCCACTTGTGCCCAAGCACCACCTTCAGGAGGAGTAGGCCAGGAAGGAGGGTGGGTGGTCTCAGAGATGATGGGGCCAAAACAGATAAACAGCATGTCCTTCTAGGCTCAGGAACTTGATTGCAGACTCATCTCTTATAAAAGCCGGTTACCTTTGTTTCCCTGAATTCTTCTGCTCTGTGACCTCAAGTGAGCCCTGTCCCAGCCCCCCGCCCCAGCCCACTTCCCACCTGAGATAACTCGTTTCACCCTGGTCCTGGTAGCATCATTGCTGTTGCTTCCGCCAGCTGTCAAGGAAGTAGATTACGTATCCCCTGAGCAGTTGAGTGCTCCAGTTCGAGGCTGCTGAAGTTAATGGAGCAAGCCTGCCTCCCGATTCTTAATAGCAAAGCGTCCCCACGACTTAGGAGTCAGCGTTCCATACCTCCATATGTCTGCCAGCTAGCGAGAGGGACTGTGGAGGAAGGTGAGAAACGAAGCTATTGTTGGCGCCGCCTGAATGGGATTCTCACAGTGGAGAGCGGCCCATCCCATCTCCTCTGTCTAGGTGGATGTTCCGGCACGGGAAGTGTTCAGGGCTACTTTACTTCCCGTGTTTTTCCTGCCTGCCCAGTACTGCTGGGGTCAGAGCCTGTTCTCCTGCGGTGGGGAGGTGTCAGACACTGATTGGAGAGTCATCTGGCTTCCAGGTGAAAGTGGATGGAGAGGGAGAGAACCATTGGGGTTTCTGAGATCTTTTTTTTCTGAGGCGAGCCTTTGTCAGACTGTGGAGCAACATGGTTGCTGTCCTGTAGAGCAGCTGGGCAGAGGAGGTGTTCACCCTTTTGGTTCCCCCGGCTCATGTCTGCCTCCCCTCCCAGAACAGGACACTGTGAGGTCCTGTGGGTTCCTGCTGGGTGGGCTGAGGCCCCGCTGTCCTGGTAGCTTACAGCAGTGTCCAGCTGCCTTACTCATGTCCTGCACAGAATGGCTACTGTCCTCTGCATCGCTGGGTTGGGGGGACGTGTGCCTTGTTGCCTGCAAGCCATGTCTATGGCATGTGCATTGCCCACCTTGATCTGCCACCAGATGCCACCTCTCACCTGGCCCAGTGATGCTGGTGATTTCCACGAGTCAGCTCAGCACCGGGTCTGGCCTCTGGGGCTGCAGAGTAACTCACTGTCTTGACACAGGGCTCCCCAGTAGTCTAGAATAATCGGGCTCCTCAAGTGACCGTATAGCTGCCCAGGACCTTTGGGGTGTTTCGTTTTTGTTTGTTTAAACCATTTCAGTCACCCATAATCTTAGAATTGTTTTTGGCCGGCTCTGGGTCAGACATAGTGAAAAACACAAGAGGCGGATGCAGGGGAGCTCACTGGCGGCTACCGCGTGTAAAGCAGCAGGGAGTGACTCAGTGTGGCAGTGAGAACGCCGAGTGGGTAGGACCTGGGTAGACCAGATGGTGCAGGAATACTTGGTGGCAGTGAGGCTTTGGGCAGGAGGCGAGGAGCCCAGATGAGAAGTTCTGCCTGGCAGAGGGAATCTGCGTGCTGGGTGCCACACAGGGCCTACCCAAGCCCAGCACCAGCACATGCTGGCAGGTTGCAGTGATGCGGAATCCAGAGCCCGAGTGAGGGCAGCGGGAACCACCCACTGTGGTACCAGGGCTTCCTGAGGAGCCAGGCATGGCTGCTGCCATCTGGTTTGCCCTCCCTAGAGCGGGTTATAGGTCCTGATGCCAGAGGAAAGAGACATGCTCTAACAGGGAAGGTGGAAGGAGGGGTAGGGTGAGCCAGTTGGCCGAAGTGCCCTGCCTGCCTTTCCCCGGAGCCCACCCCACCCTGTCCCACCATTCTCTGCAGCCCTCGCTGAAAGACCTGCCACTCGGTGGTTGGATCGTCGGTTACAGACTGAGTGCAGGTGACAGCGGCGGCCTCGGACCCTGCCCCGGCCCCTAACTTGTGTATGTTGATCTGCTGTAACCTTCCTTGGACCAGGCGTGACTGCTGTCACCACCTGCTCCAACTGCACCCTGGCTGTGTGGCAGGAATACAGGATGGGGTGTAGGGAGCCAGCGCACACCTGGGAGTCTGGGACCATTGGTGAGAAGTGGGGCCATGGATGGCAGCACCAGCGTCTGGAGCAGAGAGGCTGGCTAGGAGCTTGCCCCTCTCCACCTCATAGGACTGGAGTGAAGGGTGATGGCCTCAGAAGAACTTGGGACCAGTATGAAAGGCCAGAGGAGAGCCAGAGGCCCCAGGTCACCAGCAGGAAGTGGGGGTTGAAGGGACTGTCCTTGCAGTGGGCAGGGAGCTGGCCTGAGGCTGCATGCCAAGTCTTGCCTGCAGTAACTTGGGGTGCTGAGAGCCTGCAGTGCAAGGCCGGCAGCTCCGTCCCCCTCCAAGGAGATGACCGCACCCCCTGTGTCTGAGGGAGGAGCTTTTGAGTTAGACATTTTCCCTATGGGAATCCTCGTGGTTTGGTTTGTGGGGAAAGGGGGAGTGGATAAATGACTTTTATCTCTAATTGTCGACACAGCTGTTCTTACACTGAATTTGTGCTATTGCATACATGTAGCCATCTTTCTTTTCACTGCAGCAGTGTTTATCAGTAGTTCAAAATGATTTATTTGCTCCTGGGGAGTAAAACCTTTTTTTATTAAAAAAAAAAAAGAGAGAGAGAAAGAGAAAAAAAAAAGTGACCCTCCCCCCACCCCATGATAGCTCAAGGATTATTGGGCTACTGAGGCCGAGTCCATCCTCCGGCCCGGCTGTGTCCCTGCAGTCTGGGAAGTCAGAGCCAAGTGTCAGCGGTAGGAGAAGGGGTGGCCCAAGCCAGTTGCGGGGACCGGGGTGTGCGGGAAGCCAGTGCAGTGGCGAGTGTCGGGATCACTGGGCGGTCTGCCCGCCGAAGCCTTCCTGGGCAGGCGGGTCCATTTCCTGTGTGTCCTCATAACTTCTTGCTCCTGGCAGGGCTGCCCAGCTTCTCAGTCCCTCCCTGTCCTTGCCACCCGTCGCCCTTCCTGTCCTGCCCCCAGCTACCTCCCAGGAAGCCAGTCCTGCATGCTGAGTCTGTGACATGCCTTTGTGCCCATTTCATCTCATTTTAGGGGTACCTGGAACGGCCCCCCCCCCCACCTCCTGTGCAATGCCACACATGAGGCATGCAGGGGCGGGTGGCCAGCCACCACCCCGTGGAAGATGTGAATGTTGGTTGCAGCTGGACTGCGATCGTAGTTGTTCCTGGAGACGGTGTAAGGAAAACTGAGGTCTGACCGGGACGAACACACACCGCACAGCCCTGCTCAGAGCTGCGGTCTAAAGCCCCCTCCAGCTCAGGTCAGGCGGGAAGGCTGGTCCCACAACTCCATCCCTGGTGCTCCCCAGAACAGGGACCCACCTTCCCTGTTAGGCCCGGAACCTTCTCCAAGGAGCAAGCCTCACCGAGGCACTGCTGAGTGGGTCGCCGGAACGCCCAAACTGGTGCTGCCCCTGGAACGGCCACTGCTGTACATTTTTTGGTCGTTTTTAAGAAACTCAATGAAGAGGGGTGTCCTGTGGGCTTGGGTGGCTGCTGGTTCTCCATGGAGGGGCGCCACACGCCCCCCCTGCAGCCACTTCTGTCCTCTGTAGCCACCCTGCCTCCCTACCCCAGCCAAAGCGTGGCCCGGCTCTCGTCTTCCCATTCAGTTCTCCTTTACCTCCTCCCTTTTTGTGCTTAATTTATTAAAATAGTTGCTGTATAATTTATTTTCATAAACTATAAGAAAATTACTAAATGGTTAAAATAGACTTGCAGGCCAATCTTAAAATGGGATGGGAGGGTTTAAGGGTGGGATGGGGAGAGGGAAAGATGTTTTGATATACACAACACAAATGCACTTTGGGTGTGTTTTGGTATTTTTCTGGGGCTGAGGGGTGGGCGCGGGGATGTCCCTGTAGATTAGTTTCAGAATGGGGTGTCTGTATATACTGTATCAATAGGCATGTGTGACTCTTGTAAAGGGACATTAGTAGCTGCTGCAGGTCCTGTTTGGAAACCCCATGTACAATTTCCAGTTTTTTGTAAGTGTCAGTGCGGGAGACATTTGACTCTTGTGTTTGTATCTCCTTTTTATGATTGCTGTACTGACCCATGTCTTTTTGGGGAGGGATGAAGAGATTTGAAATAAAAATGTTTAGAAATTACTTTGTGGTTTGTGCTTTGCTTCTTTTGTTTGTATTTTGGGGGAGGTTTTGTTTGTTTTGGGACCATACTCAACTCTGCTTAGAGTTTACTCCTGGCTCTGTGCTCAGGGATCATATGTGGTGCCAGGGATCAAATCTGGGTCAGCCTTGTGCAAGGCAAATGCCCTACCCTTTGTGCTATCTCCCTAGCCCGGTTCCTTCATTTTTAACTAGTGTCATTAGGTGCAGGTTAGTTTGATTTAGAAAGATAAGTACTAGTTCCTTCTGACTTAGGCCATAAAACCCTTATCTTTCTTTTGGGGGCATGGTGGGCCATACCTGGCAGTGCTCAGGGCTTTCTCTTGGCTCTGTGCTCAGGGGTCAACTCATAACAGTGCTTGGGGTAAGGAGCTGTATATGGTGCCAGGAACTCAATAGGGGCCAGCTGTGTGCATGGCAAGCCCCTTCACCCCTGTGCGCTTCTCCACTGTTGTCAGTGTTGTAGTGGCTAGGGTCTCGGCACACGTGGCTGTGGTGGTACAATCTAAGCTATAGTGTTAGCCGATCTGGAGAATGGGAAGCAAAGAACACTGATCTCTGCCCCTCGCCGTCACAGCTGAGTCTGGAATAGACCCCAGAGTGAGACCAGAAACATCCCCGAAGGTGCTAGCACAACCTTGCACACATGTTTCTCCTGCTCTTTCTCACAGCTGTACTCTACCCAGCTGCCTTGTCTAACATTGACTCCATGTTGACTACAATACCTTCCTGCAAGGCAGATGTGTGGTCTTGACCAGCTTGCTGCCACTAGTCTGTTTCCTTGGT